GTTTTTAAATTCAACAGTTTTTAAAGAATGTGTGTTAGCCCCATATGCTCAGCGTGTTGTGAATTTGTGTGTGCCTAAAATTTTACATAACTAGTATCTACACAGCCTCGAAATCTAGAGCCTGAGTTTCTGATAACTGGTTTCTAAATCCTAACATAAGCCCTTTTGATATTACGTTAATTAACTTCAGCAATTTTGCTAGCTTTATTCAATTAATGTTTATGGCTTTAACATTATTTATAACCGATATTTCAAAAATAATTTCGAACCTATTAACTTAAAAATAGAATTCAAATCAGTAAGAAATAATATTCATATTTTTTCGAACCCTATTACATACAGCGGTATCACGAATGGGGAATAGAAATGATAACTGCGTAGATTTGATTTAGACATGCGATCAAAGTTTTATTGCCCAAGTCAATTAAGGTGTCGTAGTGCGTTTTGATTGAGAGTTAGAAACTTAATAATAATATACCCAGTAGAGAATTTATAACAGTGAAACTTGGTACTGCAGTTCAGTGGAGTAGAACTAATCTTTACTTAATTTATTACCGTCTATTATCTATTTAGTAAGCTAGAAAAGACAAATACAGATTATTTTCATTAGAGTAAATATATAAGTACAGGCACTTAACAATAAAAATAAAAAGATTATCAAATTAGTAATTATCTGAAAATCAATTATCGTATGTCGAACGCACTGAAGTGCTTAGTTTAGAATAAAAAAAGCAAATGATTAAACGTCATAATAATAAACGCAAAACTTTTTAAAATGTTTGCCACAGATAATTTTGCGTTCTAACCATAAACAAGTTAAACTAAAGCGAAGTTAAAGTATGGTGTTCTAGTTTCTATCGCTTACTTTATCGATTTTTCCCTCCACTTCGCATAATGGTGTGTCGCTACATAAGTCTATGTATACATAAGTCACAATTCAACTGGCGATGTATAAACAAGTGGCTGGGCAGACTGTAGTGAATTAAATTGGTCCGGCAACTGTGACATCTCCGCTCAATCAATTACACTGACCTAAGTATCTTCTTATATCACGCATTGGGTGAATGAACAGTAGACAGTGGTAGACAGCTATCAAACTATCAACATAGGGAACAGTAGTGCCTATAGTGGTATGCACTTAAGTGAGGTTCACTAGCAATTCGCTGGAATAAACTAGTTTCTCTATTTGCTAAGGAAAGGAAGACGATAAAAGCTTTCATCAAACATTCATGACTGCCTTTTCTTCTCAGAGTTGCTTGTGGTAGTTGTGGTTCCACCAAAGTTAATTGCAAGACTTTCTGTGACATACCATCTTATGTTAGTATAGGTACCTAATGAGAATTCCTGATAGAAGTACTAAGTCTATAGATATTCATTCATGTGTTGCCTCCATAAAGCCATGCAATGGCATACATAAATGCCTATTTAAAATAGGATCATGAGTATGCATAACGTTTCTTGTTGTTTAGCTTTTATTTCCTTTGAACACATTGAAATTGTTAATGTAGTTAACATTGACGTGGGTACGTAATCACGTAATCACGCTAATTTTAGCATTGATGTTTAGAATAAGCCCTTCGCTATTCTCTAACTAAGCAGTTTCGTAGAAAGTATTTTTTGTATGAAATAACAATAAGCGTGCGTAAAAAATGTTTTATGGCCAAAAAATCAAATTACAATCGGCGCCGGCGGCTGTGTCATGACAGTTGGTTACGGTGACTGAGCACGGTCGCACTCTGTTTTACACGTTTCCATTGCCCCCAGTCCAACATTGCAATTCAAGATAACGTGCATTCAAACGTTAATTTAGTCCTCTATATTACACTGACATATTTTGTATTATTTCTGTCGCATTGCTCGTTGTTATTCGCAATGTCATGTCACGTCACACAGTTTTGCCAAATTCTGGCCATCGACCGCCGCCGTGCCCTTTTCAAACCGCCTTCTGACACGCAAACCGAAATATGTAATATTACATTAAGCTTTATTGTTACGATGTACGACTAAAATAGATTGATTGTTATAATTATTTTACGTGCCTACTTACTTATATTTTTTGATGGTATAGCTGAATGTCACGATCGATTTCAGACAAAAAGTCTATACAATATTGAACTCATTTTCATGTCTTGTTAAATAAATTGTTATCTTCCAATTTACTTAAAGCACCTCCATCAATGTTGTGCTTGAAATATAAATTGAAGCTGGGACATGTTACCATTAGGTCTCCTAGTCTTTAATTACACTTATGTAATTTAATATCAGTTAAAAAATGTTATCCGAATTGGCGGTTTGCCACAGGCGAAACATCTGTCGTGTGAAAGTATGGGACGGTCATGTTTATGTTTACACGATCGTAACCCAGTTACACAGAGCGATAATACGATACCCTTTTGTAAGACGGCGCCGAAATATCGTGAACCCAAACAGTCAATAGTTGACTGATTGACCCCCTTGAGCCATGCGTTACAAAATAAAAGAAAAAAATACCGCTAATGTTCTTTCTAAAAAATCGTGATTGTTTAAACATCCAATACGGTTAAAGTGTTTACTTAAAGTGGTTAAAGAGTTTACTTTGGCTCATTAACTTGTTATGAATAGAAATGAGTGGTTTATAGTATACAAATATTGTTGGGTAACACCGCGTAGTAGATGTGTTAACTATGTAATCCTAATCACAGCGGGTAACTTCACTACGCAACATAAATTTGTATATACTTTGAAAATGAAGGCCAATATTTATTTTTTGTAGTAGATATTAAAAGATATCTGTTCTAAAGCGTGCCAGTAACATATTGGTTACTTGATAACAAATACTAAGCCATTAAACATGATTGGAACCTAAAAGGTAGGTATCTGCCGCGTGACAATGACAGCACGACCTCAGATAGATAAGCTCTCACAATTAATATACAGACCTACCACGCAAACCGTCCAATAAGAAGGAATGAATAATGTTTTATTTTTAAATGTGATGTCATTTCATATCACTCTCATTTGCACTAAAGAGAGAAATTGTAATGTAGAGCTGAGAACAAAAATTGGGTATGTGTCTTAAGTCTGTATCTAGACTCACAACTTTCTCTTTACATATTTAAACCCCTATTGAACCTGTCTTTCAATTCACAATGCATTCATTTACAGTTTTATTGCGAGAAAAGTAAACACGTAGGTAATATGTATTGAGTGTTGTATAACCTTGTTGGTTAACCCATTCATTCCTAAACTTAATCTACGATGGGGGTGCTAAAATACTTTTCACTAGTAAAAGTTATTGGAAGTATAAATAACCAAACTACTGCAAAAAATACTAAGATTGAAAAGGTTGCAGATTATGCTAGTAAGCCCTATAGGTAGTTACAATAATGAGCATCCGGCGCGCACGCAATCGGAATGCTTAGTGAACTTTTTACGAGCCCGTTTGTCCACTGTTACTGAATGCTGTCAGGATGAGATCATTGCAAGAGTCATCTCATGGCATCTATTTTAATGCTATAACAGTTGGCATTGGTTGTGTCACCACGAGACGCCGGTGATGTAGGCGTTTAAATAAGTGGCCGTGGCCCCGATTTGCTAAAACGCTGCATTGATTGTTTGTTTGAGTTTTTTTCTGTCTGCCAATTCAAATGTTCCTCGTATCTGAATTTGCAGAATCTACACACGTACCTACGAGTGCTTACCTATATCGTAGTAGACACGTTCGACTAACATTCGTATTTGTATTGTGAATCGGGATGATGACAGGGTATGAAAATTAAAAATCTAATTAGTCCGTAAGTTAGGTAATGAAAAAATATTAGACACGTATTTTTTTAATTTTGTCGTATCATAAAACAATACTTATATAAAACGAATCAAAGTTTAGCAGTGGGGGGGGGGGGCTAAAACGTAATTTCTACGTATAAAATGTACATAGAAGTGACGTCACGCGACATTTCAAATCAATGTATCGTCGAAAGTATTCGTTTCTGTAAGAAAATAAAAAA